ATTTTAGCATCTACATTAAGGAACTGAGGTGCTGATCTCTCTGGTATCCAGTGATAGAATGCATAAGAACAGTTCAAAGGTGCAACAGAGGAGGTTTAGACTGGACATTAGGAAGCATTTATTTACTAAGAGGCTGGTCAAACACTGGAATAGGCTTCCTAGAAAGGTGATGAATGCCTCAAGATTGTCAGTGTTGAAGAGGCATTTGGACAATGCCCCTAAAAACAGGCTTTAACTTTTGGTCAGCCATGCATTGGTCTGGCAGTGGGACTAGATGATCATTGTAGGTCCCTCCCACTGAAATAGTCTATCCTGTTCCATTGCCGACAGATCTTCTATGAATCACTACAAACTGAGAAAGCTACATCCAGAAACTTGTGTGTTTGTTAGAAGCAAATATTGATGTTATCATACGATTTTTCTCAAGCCTTTCTATATAAGCTTTGGTACTGAGACTGTATTTGAGCCTATCTGAAGCCATTACTTGCTACTGCAACAGAAATATTTAACAATAACTGATGCCTCATCACAGATAAATATGATGTCTGAGTTTTAGAAGAAAATGACACTGCCTAATGAAACGAAACATGGCCTTCTGGAGACACTCTATTTGCTGGTATCTTTTGGAGATATTTCATTCAGTGTTAACTTCAGTGATTTTGGATGAACTTTTACAATGACAGAAAATAACACAGCCTATTATACAATGGGAACAGCACAAATAATTAACGGGCAACCAAGCATTTCACATCACCACTAAGTCTGCCAAGGGGGGGAAGGAAGATATATTAAAAACTCATGCAATGTTAGTCAGTAATAAAAAAGCTGTTCATTATTCTCTGCTCATTTAAAAGGCTTTTTGTTAGGATTCAGTTTAGAGAGTTGTGTGTTAAATAATTCAGCCATTCTTTAAAATAACATTTATCTTCAAAGAACAGAGCTCAGCAGCTGCCCTCTTCCTTCCCCAGAAAAAAACCTCAAACCCACACAAATGGACTTCACTCCTCATCCAAAATAAGAGAACAGAGAAGTACCTAACAGAAATCAGCCTGAGCTGATGTAAAAACAACACAGACCCCAGGAGGCAAAAAGATGGAACAGAAGAGTTAATTCTGATACAAGCTTTCCACAGATGATAAAAAGTTATCATCCATAGGCCCTCCTAACTGATGGCCAGCAAGCCTTCTTTAGGTGGCTAAAGTAAGACAGCAATTCCTACATCCTCTTCCCAAGTAAGGGGTAAAAAATAGTTCTAGCCAGAAAGTTGGTTATTAAGAGACTTCTAGTATAAAAATTAGACAGTCTGAGATATCTAGCAAAGGTATGATTTACAAGGAAGATAACAGAAGTAATTTCACTGATGAGTGGACACAGGTCGGAACATCGATTCTGTCATCAGAAGATAAGAGGCCATTTTTGAGATTTCCATTAAAAAGACACGGGTTGGCAAACGACAAGTGTTCTAAAACAAACATAAGAAGTTGTTTTCTGTTTTGAAGTAACCTTTTAGGAAAAAAAAGGAGTGAAAACTTCCAATCTTTAGGCAAGCATTCAGAATCTGTGGATAAGGTGTTTGGTGTTTACTTGCAAACTAACTCTCGCATTTCCTGGGACATGATCACAGGGTGACATACCTGTCCTTGAACTTCCCTGCTGGCCTGTTTCACTCAACCTAATTAGCATCTAACTTTCATCCCTGCTCTGACAACCTGTTACGTGTAGGGGGATCAGAAAGCTGATCAGAGGGAATGGAGCTGACTTAGTCATACAGGAGTTTTATCGGTAGCATCTTAAATGGATAGAAAATGATGCAGGGAAAAGAAGCATCAGGGAGAAGCGATGTAAAAGGGTAATCAGAAGGTATGTGGGAAACTGGCTTTTGGATAGACAGGATGCATGAAAAGGAAAAGAGGAAAGGAAAAGAGTACAAAGGGAAGAAGAGAAACAATAGTAAGAAAACGTCTTCTATTTGTCTCTCACCATGGAGTTGTTAAAAGAATGGTAGGTAAATGCAGGGGGAGAACTACAAAGCACACATCAAATCAAATCCTCTACAAAGAGTTCTTAAATTATAAATGAGGCAAAAACCTCCACCAATTCCACTAAACATGCTCTTATTGTCTGTGAAAGCTTTCAGACTCTCGGAAGGGAGAAAGAGGAAAGAAGAAGGGAGGCCTCAGTCACTGCCTTTCAGTTGTCATTGTGAAATTAAAGCAATTGGTATACCCTGGGCAATAACCAACCTAAGTAACTGAGGGAACTAGTGAATTACTTAGGCATAATCATGCTTATTTAGCATTACCTTGCAAAATAAAGTAAGCTGCACAGAAAGAAAACAATCTGCTTAACATTCTTTCTACCATAACCAGTCACAGTGCAAAACAGTATCTGCTTCAGTAGAAGAAGCTTGCAATTCATAACATAAGTTTAGATAGTAAGAATAACAGAAGACCCTATTATACCTAACTAAAACTCTAAATTCAGTAGTAAAACAAATCACCTTTCACTAAAGCATGCAGATTTCTCAAAACTGTGAACTAATTCACAGTCACTTGATGACAAATCCCTTAAAACCCAAGAGGAAAGTGAGAAAACCCAGAACACTTAAGAAGCTAAAAGCATAACTCGTAGTCACAAATAATTTCAGGTATTCTGATTTTTAAAGTAAGTCATAATGAAACCAAACTTCAAAACAACACAATATCCTTTCTCCACCAGTGTTGATTTCTGGTACCAGTGCTGCCTATAGTTGGTGGGGAATATATCCATACACTCAGGTCTAGATGTCTGTATCTAAAGACCAGAGATAAAGAACACCTCTGAATAAATGGGGTGGGGAGGAAACACAGACAGACTTTCAGATAGACAGAGCTACTAAGCTCAACATCCTTTATATTAAATAATTAGCTAAATTCTGCATTCTGCTTTAACTATTAAAAAATATGGAAAGTAGGGGTATTTTTTCCCCAAAATTTTCTTGTCTGTAAATGGTCACATTCCATGCATCTGCTTCTGCTGTCACTTTATTCTTGTCATTTTTCTCCAATTCCTGTCTACTTTTGTTTACTTCTTCTCAAAACACACATGAGACACTAGGAGCTCCCAAAAGATGTTCTTAAATTTCCCTGTTCTTCTAAAACTCAGCATCATTTCTGTCTGCTTCTTTTTCTGCAAGATCAAATATGTCAATAAAAGTGGCTCTTAAGAATAGTTTTCTTCCATATATGCCATGAGACAAATCAGTTTTATAACAGTCCTGTAAGTCTCAACCAAAATTCATGCCTCTGCCCCTATCAACAATAGGTGTCTTTCTCTGTGAAAAGATGACACATATATAATACAAAAGGAAAAAAATATTTCACTTAGTATTCTCAGAGGATCATTTATGCATTGTCATACTCCTTTGCCCTTGTTGCCTATTATTTATGCCCCCTCTACCACATAAAATAAAAAGCAGTATCAGATTCGCTTTTTCTCAGGTAATCAGTTTTAATACTGATTTACAAATTAATAGGCCTACAAATATTTCTTTTCCTATAAACCTATTATTTACACTTTCTCAACTCCAAAAAACATTGAGAAAACTACACCCTGCTTAATCTAGGAATATCAGTTTAATAACAGATGCAAGACACATTCCATAAATTCTAAACTAATACTGAAATTTTAACACTAACTTAGACTACACAGATCTATCCCATATTTTATAGATGAAAGCAAGAAAATTACTTTTTGCTTGGTAATAAATTTCTCAGCATGCTAAATCAGAAAACAGAAGTTCTAGAAACACAAAACGTATCAGATACTAATTTCCTGTAACAACAGCCCAGAGACATACTGTTCAGTAATTTCATTTCAAGTAGAAAAGGTAGTCTCAAATTTAGCTGCAGTAACTCTGCATAGATTAACCTTTAATATTCATGAAAGTGGTTCTGAGAAGCCTTTACAATTGCTTTGAATTTTAACAACGTTCTAACACCTCATCAAGATTTCTTATGAAAGTATGAATTTTCTTTAACCAAATAGTTTTGTTTTGAATTTGATATAGCTATATATTTTAGAAGGGGGAAAAAATACAGCGTATGTGTTCTAATTGATCACTCACTTTGTGTCTAGCTGATGTAGAATATGCAATAGAGAACAGGGGTTAATCTTATTTTCATATGGGAGCATCATCAACCTTGCTAAAATCTACAACATAGGAAGTAGACCAGAAAAAACTGTTTCATTTGCAAAATTAAATAAAATAAAAACATTTTTGTGAGTAACTGTAAGGGTAGAAATGTCTGTCCAATTTTAACTAATAAGAAACAATTCCTTGTTTTACAAGCTATGAAAAAAGTCAACATGGATGATGTTACAGTCACTATCTATGCCAGGATACAATAAACACTGCAGTCTACCCACTGTATCAGAGTAGTAGGATGGACAAGGCCATGCTATTGACATATTTTAAAGCCATCTTTCCTGCTTGAAGACTATTTATATTATTTTTTTTCTCTTTGCCTACAATTCTTCTGGTGACTTCTCCCCACCCTAGTCATATACCTTTATACTGGCAGACAGAGCACAAGAATATACCATGCACTAAATTGCACTAAAACTACATGATTCACACATTTTAGTAAAATTTTAAGGTGTGAGTATCCTTGAGAAAGAAAAATAATCTGAGAGCTCAAATCAATGGTTCATAGAGTCACAGAACTCTTGCAGTCAGAAAAACCACTTCCTTACCTAACAGCATGTAGTTGGAAAAAGCATTAGAAAACCATGAGCTTATTCCTGAACACAACTACCATGGTTAAGTCCCACACACTACAAATTAGATTGCAACTATTTAAATTTAAGTAGTCTGATGAAGTGGAAAAACCAGAACTAAAGCTGCAAAGTAATCCTGACTGAAACAAACAGTAGGAAGTAGATGGGAGGAAGAGTGGGGAGGGAGGGTGAGAACTTCTTTAGAGAGTGAAGGGAGAAAAATCCATTTCTACACGACTTACTCCTGTAGGCTGAAATATCAGTCCATCCACTTCATGACTAACTTCTCTGGCAAAGTTTCCTTCCAGGAGCTGTAAAACAAAAGGAAAATAAATATTTTTTCCATAGAGAAATATTTCCCTTGGAAGACTGCACATCAAAGCAGATTATACACTACTACTGCAATCACTTGCTAGTAAACTTCTTATTTATGGTTTAATGTCAGAGCTTGGGAAATGTCAGCATGGAAAGCTTCAACAAATTAGTAGCTTTTACAAAGAGCACTCAAGGCTGAAACAAGTTACAGTTCTATTCAAGGAAAATGGCTTTGTCTGAAAAGAAGCACTGGGAAATCAAGATGATTCTGTACACTAAAAGATGAAGAAAAATTAATTCTGATACAGCATGGCACAGTCATTTATGGTCAGATTAAAGGACAAACTCACCACTTCAATTTGCAAGTAGCACTTACTGTAGATTGAAACTATGTTATGAAAAATATTTCAGAGCATCATTCAAAATGCATGTTTGGCAGACTCCCTAACCAGGGCATAACCCAGTAACACAGCTACATTACTGTAAAATAGCTGCATGAATTAATTTTGATCTTAGAATGGTTTGGATTGGACAGGACTTTAAATATCCTCTAGTTCCAACCTCTCTGACATGGGCAGGGACACCTCCCATCTCGATTATTCAGTTTTACATTTTCAAGGATTGTGAGTTCCATATGGAAGTGATACATCCATCAAGAAGCATTTACCAGAGAAAAAAACCAACTAAAACTAATTAAACCAGCTAGTCAGTCACTAGTTACAAGAATTTCTTATATACTTCCATGTTAAATTATGACTTGTCTAAGGAAAAGCAAATAACCAGTGAGAAATCACAATTGACAAAAAATAGCAAGAATTAGAAGAATTGCCAAAATGTCTCATTATTAATTTCAGTTTATGTTTTACTTTAGAGTTGAAGAGTCTATCCTAAAGTTGTAGACACTTTTAGTTCCTTCTGAAAAACTTCTATGTATAACTAACCACACAGTCCTAAAACATAGCAAATACAGAGCTCAATAAATCAGGCAGTTTTAAAGGCAGTATTTTGGCCTAGATTGTTCATTTTGTACAATTTATTTTGTATACTCCAACTCAACTCAGTGAGGCACAGATAAAATCATTCAAATCAAGTATCAAACTCTGCCCTCAGTAAACAGAACTATGAAAGGAGTTGAGAATTAACATTTGGATCTTCCTATGGGTTGTACAACTGAAAGCAATACACTTAAAATGGATCATAAGCCTGATGGCCAAATACTTTAAATAATAAAACACTGTATTTCATTTAAAACTGCAGCTGCTTACACAGAACGACTGATAATTTTGCTATTATAAACCATAGCTTTTTTCTTATCTACAGTCATTAATCAGCATATTTGTCCTTATAACTACAAATACAGCTTTCACTATTCAACTTAGATCCAATTTAATAATAAAATAGCACTCTATGAGAATAGTCTCAAGTGGTAAAATACTTAAAGAATGTTTGACACTAAAAAAAATTATCCAACAAAACATTATTTTTCAGTGCAGAAAGTCCACAGTTAGAATGTGAAGTTATAGGTTGCACTTATCTATTAGTATTTTGAAATTTACAACTGAGACTCACAGTCTTTTACCAGATGTCTAAAATAAGAAAAATAATCATATCCATAATTCTTTCATTAATTCATTGTTACTCTGCTTCAGCAGAGAAATTAGCACACTGGAAAAGATTTAAACAAATGTTAAGAAGGTTTTTTTAAACTTTTATTTTAATTTTTCTATACAAGCTAAACCTGTGGATCACTGCAAGGTTACTGTTATGGTCCAAAACTGACAGAGAGGTACCTGTAATAAGAATACACTTTATATTTACAAAAACACATGCAAAAATTTCATTAAACTTAAGTACCAGAAAGACTTTATCCAAATACAAAACCCTACTCTTTTAAAAATAAAAGACAAACTTCAAATTAGCTGAGCCTATACTTTTTATACATTTCTAACTAGCTCATGAACAGACACTAACCAAACGAAACCTATAATCTCTGTTTCAGCTGATCTAAAATTCTTTAAGGAACTTTGAGGACATGGCAACTTCAGTGGTGGAGCTTACATAAACTACAGTATTTAATATTTCCTAAAATAAAACTTGAGAAAATAGAAACAGTCTTTTAATTTGGAGTGTGTGACTCACACAGCTAAAGCATAAAATTATCATCATGCCCAGTTTACCTGTAGCTTTCTCCACTCTGGTCTATGCACTTTTAAACTACATTAAAGCACTATTATAACTTCATAAATGGGGGGAACATGTAAATACAAAATTTACCATTAAAAAAATATATTCTGGCTCTTCTTTTCATTCACTACTGCACTAGTATTATAAAAGGCAAAAGAATCTCTCTTATTGACCTCACTCCCAGATTCAGACTTGAACAAGTTATCGTTTTGAAGGTCCACAGTACTTTTACAAAGACATCTCATCTCCACCCAAATGTCAACTAGATATCAAAGACAAAAGGATTTTAGAACTAGGAACAAGCCTCAACAGATAATTAAACCTCTTCGTGTTCCCAGTTATTCTGCTTTCATTCTCACTTATTCTGCTTTCATTCTCATTAGGTCAATTAGAAGAATTTCAGTTATAACATTCTAGAAAGGAATTTCTACTGGAAAGTATTAGCAATCTGGGGAAGAGGGAGGGAAGTAGGAAGGAGGGAATGGAAATTTTCTGTGAGCTTCTTCCCATAAACACACTCTTCAGAATTACACTATTTAGAGGCTGTCTCCAAACAGCAGAATATATACTGAATACTGCAGAAAGTTTGGAATGACAGGAGAATGAGCAGAAAAGGAATGCAAATATTTTTGACACTAAAAATGTAGTTGATGTAAGGCTTTTAGGTTTATAAACCTAAAATGCAGATATTACAGCTCATCTTTTTTAAAAATTATGTTCAACTTTTCCACACATTAAAATTTCTAATTAATTTGAACAGTATGGTCTTTTTTAACCAGCACCATGATAAATGGCACACCTGCTTAACTGGGATGACTGCCAGGAGTCAGATAAAATGCAATGCATCTCAATGACATTTTATAAAAGATGGGTAAATGATGCATGCAAGCCAATTCTTTTGGCATGCTATTCCTTGTAGCCTCATGGCATCTATTTCCACCTGTAAAAGCCTTTGTTCACTTTTTGTAGCTTTCCTGCTTCCCTGGGAACACTGCAATAAACCATATACTCATAGTGCAGTTTATTATTTAAAACTTGTTCTTTCTTACTTTAGAACTAAAGCAAAATAAAAATTACTGCTACATCTAATAATATTCCTCTAACAAAAAGAATGCAATGAGTGGAGCTGTTGAATGATTAACAGGATTTCCCCTTGCTCTTCACCCACTGAGCTGAGGAGCAGCAATGTGTCACCAAAAGCAGCACTAATAACCTGCTGAAGCTGATTATGCTAAAACACTGAATCAATCAGCAATTCTTGAGTGGATAACAGAAAATTCATGCTTTGGAGATCCCTCTACACTTACCAATAAAAAAAATCACTTGGCTCCTCCAGCAGGATGAGAGGAAAAAAAAAAAAATCAGTGCATACAGATTCCACACAATGCAACTTTTCTGTAATTCTGAGGCAAGGCCCAGGATTCTAACAAGCTTTCAGATGTTACTTTATTAACGAAATAAGTAAGTCCAGTAGGTACTACTGTGCCTTTTACTTTCCCATACCAAAAAAAAACACCCAAACATCTCATGGAAACAAAACATGCTGTGAGAGTTATGCAGATTCCAGAACATTAAAATAAAGTCTCTGCAAAGTCATACTGACTTTCTACAAAAATAAGTTGGCTAATGTCCTTGCACATAACTATTATCAATCTGCTATGTTGCAATATACAAGTATTCCTAAACATTTTGTCCATATTTCTGATTCAAAACTGACAGCCCTTGTTAGCCTAGTCAAATACTTGGACTTAAAAAAACCACACACCTTTTTATTTTATAATACAAGACAAACATCCATTTTCCTTGGTTTTTCAATTTCAGAACTGCTCTATGCTTCATTCTGCTTCAAGTCAAGCTACAGTAACTCTGCCTGCACCAATTCCCTCAGTAGTTTTTCAGAGCCATCTTGAAATTACTGATCATCTACCTGGTCACTCCACAGCACAAGGGAACATACTTCACTCAAAACTATTAGTTACAAATAAGCTACCAATCAAACTGTCAGTTAACTAGAATATAAAACACCTTCAGACATGAGCTACTGTCCTTTCTAACTTCACAGAGCCAGCCTCTTCACTGGGTCAGGTTTCAGTCCAACTCAGAGGACAATCCCTCTGATGATGACAGCCCTTCATCAGCAGACTGTAAAGTAATTCTCACATCCAGTCATGGGCTCATAAGCCTCTGTACAGATACTGCAGATTCCTGAAACTTATTACAGTCTTCATAAAAAGATTCAGAAATTACCAGCATCAATAACCACATTTTTTAAAAGAAAACAATTATTCTGGCTCTTCCTTGCACTTATCTAAAAGTGTCAGGCTACTCTGCTTTTAAAACAGAATATCACCCTTGGTTTATTTTTACATTGATTTGTTTCATCTTGCTTGCAAGTTTCTGTATTATTCTATTTTTTTACATGACCAGCTCCTCAATAGCCCCGTCTCTCCTTCATCATCACAGTTCAATATAATTATTTACTTTAATAGTGGTTGCTGATGTATTTAAGACACCCCAGAAAAAGTTTAACATCCAAGTGGGAGATACAAATGTTTTTAAATGCAAAGTGGTCTAACAACATTCAATAAAATATGCCTGAATTGAATGTGTCTGATACTAGAAAAATTCATCTATATTATTAAGTATAGAAGTCTCCAAAGAAAGAATCTATGAATCATAAACCCAGCTGAACAGCTGTATATAAAACCAGTATTTCTACTGGGTAGCCTTCCTGGACATGTTTTTTTTAAAAAACAACCAACAACAACAACAAAAAAACCAAACCACACCAAAACAATGAAACCAAACCAAA